GATTAGGATCAGGGTGCATAAGTGGCATGATTCGGATCTGCATGAATTGCGTGATCGTCAAATTAGTAGATGCATAACAGTAATTTATAGTCTAATAGTATGTAATGCATAATGTGTGTGACCCAGGTAATAATATATCTGGAGATAATCTTGTATTTAAGCATAATAATCTCTAATAATAAAGAAAAAGTCTTTAGCTTAGTGAAAAATGTTCTAAAAGAAAAACTGTGTGGTCAACATCATAGTCTATTGGTGGTAGTACCTGGAACGATACTTCAACCTGTATGGAAAGCCAAGCGAGTTGAATTGGAAGGCCAAAAGAACAAAGATCCGTATAACTGCAATTCTCCGTGACACTGGTTTGGTAGTTGGGGAGAGATCAGTATAAAAGCTGGTTGGAAGTAGATATCTGGATCGGAATGAACCTTGTAAAGGGCGAGAAGTAGATTATGGTAGCAATGCAGAAGATCGCAAGTTTTAGTTCTTGGATTGGGGTATATGTTTCTGAAAAAAACAGGTGATATATGTATAAAACATGGACTGCTCTGGTAGGTTTATCACAAAATAAAGTAGTTCTAAGGGCCTTAGCGGCAGGAATTCTTCCAGAGAAAGTATCTGACAGCATTAAGTCGATCAGAGAGTTTAAATAGAGGATCCACAAACAGATCCTAGATATAGCAATTGGTGAGTAACTATAGATAGAAATAGATATAGTGAAGCCCTTAATTAGACAATGACTAAAGTTGTATATGTGACCAATTGTACTCTTGTTAATGTAACAAAGTCAAGGGGTGTCTATTTGGCATCTTAATAATTGAACTGAGAAGTTAATAAACCGTGCCAGACCCCAAAGTAGTCACCTTAATATTTAAAAAAAAAATAAATAAATATTTAAAATATCATTATATAATAAATAATTTAAGACAATATTGCACAAAGAACATTTTTAGAAAATCATTACATAATAAATATTTTTGAAATATTATCATATAACAAATATTTAAAAAAATCTGTATTCAAATCTCTATAGCTAAACTATATTAAATATAATTAAACTAATCTAACTTTATTATACAATAATGAAATCAAGCCAAACTTTAGTACCCTAGCTATGGTGAAAAAAAAATTACTATCATGTGATACCAATCCTGTCTGACCTATCCACTCAGTTCGGAAGTTATTGTGCCAACGTATATACGCACATACGTAGTACATACGTACGTACTCAAAAAGGTTTAAACTAAATTAAATGACTATTGAGACTTCATTATTTTTCATATTCACGAATTTAGCATACAATATTTTTATTTCTAATGTTAAGAAAAAATCAGCAGGACTAAAAAAAAAAAAAAATACTAATAACAAAGTGATTAATAAAGTTTTGTAAGTTTACGAAGCTAAAAAATTTAATTGAAGAATTTTGTTATACAATTGTGAATATAAAACTTTATTGTTATATTTTGAGATCAACAGACAAATAAAATAATTTCAGCATTAAAAAAAAAAAGAAAAAAGAATACCCGATAAGTATATAAAACTCAAAAATAAAATAAAATTATTGGCTAGTACTAATCTATTTAAGCAGAGGTTATTTTTTAAAAATTGCTTATAATAAAAATTCAGTTCGTTGTTAAGTTGTTTAAAAAAATTATTTGATTTTAAAATTTTATTCAAATGCTACGTACTTAAAACAGTATAAATAAAGCTAAATTTTGATTTGTTTTATTTAATGCATTGGCTTGTAAAATTTTATATGGGTTCGAAGTAATGCATTTAAAAATCTTTCCATAAAAGGTTAATGGTTATGCATAACACAAGTTTTTGTCAAATAATCACAATCACTACTAAATAAAGATTAGATTTATTAAGTTAATGCGAGAGATAATGAAAGGAGGTGAAGTACACACTAATAATACTTATCTAAGTAAAAATTGTGGCCATATATGAATACATTGAGAGTGAAAAATTATAATTAATATTGACAGTAAAAGAGATACTTGTTTTGGTAAAATTGTGGCTGTGTATAAATTGAGAGTGAAAAATCATAATTATTGTTGGCAGTAAAAAAGATACTTGTCCTGGTAAAATTGTGGCCATATATGAATTAAGAGTAAAAAATCATAATTATTGTTGACAGTAAAAGAGATACTTGTCCTAGTAAAATTGTGGCTGTGTAAAATACATTGAGAGTGAAAAATCATAATTATTGTCATGAAATCGGATCATCATGAAAATTGTGGGTCTTAATTTGAAAATATAAGCCTTACCTACACTCTTTTATTAATAATTCTAGTCTTAAATCCTAACCTAACTATGAAAAAAAGCTGATAAAAAAGACCCCAAAAAATTTTAAAATTGTACATAAAATAGATCCAAATTTCACGATGATCTGATTTCACAATAATCTGCGACAAATTATTGTTGACAGTAAAAAGAGATACCTATTCCAGTAAAATTGTGGCCATGCATAAGAATCTTAAGGAAGTAGTTATAAATACTTTTCAGGTAAATTGTGACCGTGTATAAGAACTTTGAGTGTGAAAATTAACGTCTCGATAGTGCAAACCATATAATTACTAACAATAATAAAAAAAAAATTGAGATAATTAATAATACCTATAGAAGTAAAGACTGTGGCCATGTAAAAAAAATCAGATAATTAACATAAATTTAGAAATTACAATAACAAATTTACCATTGAATGCAACAAAGCCTCACCTTTTGATCGTGTATTCTTTGAAATTAAAATTATAGATTTGAATCTCTTATCATTGTACTTTTTATAAAAGAGATGAATTAGCATTATAACAAAAATTAAAATCTTCAAATTTTCAAGTATGAAAAAATTAAAATAACAAAAGTTCCTGAAAATACTTTTAAGTAATTAATAAAACATTGCTAATTTCACAATATAAAATAAAATGAATTGTAATAATATTTCTAACTTGACATCCGAAACTCAAATGTGTTCATGTTGCTTTAGCACAAAGAAAAAAGAAGAATTTTACCATTTAAGAGGTAATAACAAGCTATATGTACATTCAACCTGTAATCAATATAATAACAATAGGCAAAAGAATATACAAAAAGAAAATGATTTGCTTACCAGGAAAAAGTCAAAACTTGAAGCTAGTCTGAATGCACCTATTTTAAATATTTCTACTACAATATCTCAAACAAGTACTAGTTCAAGTAAATCTCTTTCTGACCTCATAGATCTTGAACTAGATGATAATGCTTATGTTTATGAAGAATTCTCTCCAGAACTTTTTCAAAAAATCAATGAAGGTGATAATGCCAATAGACTTCTTTATACTCTAGATAAAATAGAGAAGTTTGTTACTAAACAGTTTCAGAATGCGGAAAATTTAAACAAATCTGTACAACTAATTTTCGAAATCGAATTAGATTCAAAACTCATTGAGAGCGTTTTTTCGAATTAACAAGCATTGGAATCAAGTATACAGGACCTGAAAACAATTAAAGAAAATTTTTATCAACTTGCTAGTATTTTTATTCTACCACTTAAGCTTGGGTCAGGTTATTACTGGGAAATTAGAAAAATATATCTAAATACTAGTAAAAAGAAATTAACAGGCTGTGCTACTATATATATTAGGTGTGCACAATGTGAGAATAGACAGTAGCAAAGGCCTGAAAATATGCCTATAAAATAAAGAAGTGAAGCCTGTGTCCAAATAAATAGATATAACTGTATAGGAAATATAATACTTACTATTGATCCTAAACATCAATGTGCTCTTGTTTAATGCAATCATCAAATAGCATATGAACATCCACAATATAGACAAATTGAATTTCCATTAGCAGCAAAGGAATGGATTAAAAACAATACTAATTATCACCTACAAAATTCTGAATTGTACAGATGCCTCTAACAGTATAATTTAATTGATGCTTGAGTGCATACAAAAGAACAAACATACTACTAGGCAACAGTTTTTAGCAAACAAACATATATTTTTAATCCTACAAATCAGCTATTATCAACAAAAGAATACCTCAAAAATAAACAAGGCTTCAAAATCATATACTATTTAGAAAATAGTTTTGTAAAAGCTCTTGAGTATATTACACCACTATTTAATCATATTGGTATAAAAAATTTGAAGAAAATCGTTGTTGACTCTACCTTCAAAACCAATCAAGAGCATTTTGAATTGTTTGTTATAAATGCCAATTGTGGTAGATTCGGAATACCAGTAGCATATTTGTATCTTTTGACCTGTGATAGAACAGAAAAAGCTTATAATGACCCCAAAAATACTACTTATACATGTATACAAGCCCTATGTGAGTTCTTTACTAGTCTTTAAAATAAAAGACTATTGCCAGTATTTGTTCTATTAAATAAAGATGCAGGAGAAATAGCTGCAGTAGATGAGGCTTGGTCATGAACAACCAATATACAATTATGCTACTAGCATTTGGAGCATGCAATCAATAGACACCTAAAAGATAAAAATCTAAGGTATCAGGTCATTCAAATGAAAAAGCAGCTGAGGTCTATCACAAGTTTGACTTCATCGATCCTTCATAGATTTCAAATAGTAGCACTGGGAGTTTGTGCTCCGATAAACAAATAAAAGAAGTCATAAATATAGTTAAAAAACATGCCAACATGCATTCTTTAATTCTAGTCGCAAAAAATACTTTTTGGAATTCTGAACAAATCTACTGATATTGTACACAGGAGATATACTAATATTGTCGAAGTAATGATCTTTTCAAATTATGGTGCTATCTATGAAACAACTGGTATGATAAAAAAAACTG